ATTTTGGAATTTGTAGATGTGGGCAGGAGACACTTTGGAAGTGCAAACGTTTCTGCCCACTCTTTAATTCAGGCTGATCTAAATGGCTCTTTTAATAATACGTGGATTAAAAAAATAAGAAAAATAAAAAAACAGAAAATTAGAATGGGGGGTTTCTTGCAAGGAGAGGGTTGTTGACATGGACAAACCAACTTTATTATACATATATGTGTGTGCGTGTCCCGACAAATGTCATGATGTGCCACTACAGCCGCACATTGGGAACATCTCCATTATCCTTAGATGTTCCTAAGGCTCAATTTGGACGGAGTACAAATACAAATATGTAGAGTGCAAAATCTTGTATTTTGTATTATTTTGTATGTATTTGCACTATATATATTTGTATATGTACATTTTCCAAACTAAGCCTAATGTATCACTACATAGCCTTATTTGGACATTGTTGTAATGTTTAATTAGGACTTGGTCAGGTTGGGGAGTTGGTCACCCAAAAGTTATTGACCATTTGTGAAAACCAACTCACTTAGGTTGTATCAGTTTGGACCGATTTTTGGTTTGGTTAGTTGGTTCAAAAGATTTAAACTTAAAATTTTAAATTTAAATTTAAAAAAGTAATATATATCTATGGTCAGGTTGTTCGATTTTGGTCAGTTTACAAATGACCAAAACAAAATTGATCCAATCTGGCAGAGTTGGGAAATTATTGAACTAAAGCCAATTGGAAATGGTAGAAAACTAACCAACTCAGGTCGAGTTGATCAGGTTAGTCAGTTTCATCAATTTGATGAACAACCCTAAATGAAATTGTTAAAGTGAGTCGAATAGGGGTAGTTTTGTCATCTCATGTGTTTTAAGTACCTTGCTTATGTGGCAATTTTATTAGAGATTCTCTACCCCACACTTAAGTTAGGACAGTTTAGTCTTTGTAAACATTATTAGAACCTAATAAACATTAGGGGGTCGAATGAATGAGTAATTAATCAGTTTCGACTAAACCCTCCTATTCTCTCTTTCTCTTTTCTTCTTCTTCCTCTTCTTCTTCTTCTTCTTCCTTCTCACTTGGTTCGGGTTACTGTAGCTGCATTCAAAACATGGTATCAAAGCAAGGCTCGTGACCTGTTTCAGTTGGTAAAGCATCTCAGCTGTGTTTGTGACACCTTCTTCTTCGTTTCTGGTTAGTTAATGGAGAGAACTGATTAGCCCTAGGTCTGTGACATCACAGCTCATTTCTCTCTGCTGCGCACAGTCTTCTTCATCAAGGAAAGTGATTTCAGTAGTGAATGGTTGGTTGATACTCTCAAAGGAAGGTTGGTTATCTAGTTCTTTTGTGTTGCTGGTATTTTTGGGTAGAAACCCTTTAAGAATTAGTTAGTACTGATTAGAACCTAGGGAACTAGGTTCATTGTTGCCCTAGAACGGGCTGTGTACATTAGCCGAATGGTGTAGGGGTTGTTGTAAGTGGTTGAGTGGATTAGGGCTGCTGCAGGTGGCTGAGTGGTGTAAGGTGTAATGCAGTGACCTAGCCAAGTTCTTTGTGGTTGTGTGTGTAATGTAGTGACCTAGCTGAGTTCTTTGTGGTTGTGTAATGCCCTCTTAAATGTGTTAAACAAGTCTGAACCTGGTGTAGCAAATTTGATTGTGTTATGGTGCTTGTGGTGCACAACTTCTATTGAGTGGTTGTAAGAGGGCCTACATGTGATTAGTGAGTGCTAAATTGATGCTTCTGTGGTTCGTGGGTTTGTGAAGTCAGCAGTAGTGTGAATAAGGACAAGGCGTGGGCTCTCATTGTTGTGTTTAGGGGCTGCAGTAGATGCTGAAATATCAAACTGTGAATAACATCAGTCAGCTTGTAGCTGGGAATTCAGGTTAGAGGCAATTGTGAAAGAGTACAATGGCAGCAAAAGGAGATGAGAACAATGATCAGAAACCTAGTGTGGTGGTTTCCCCCGACTACCTAGGGGTACAGATGACCTCAATTAAACTGAATGGGGAAAACTACATTCCATGGGTGAAATCTGTGGAAGTTTTTCTCAAGGCAAAGAGGAAAGTGAAGCATGTAAAAGATGRGAAGCCACCGGCTGACTCTCCAGGGTTTGATGATTGGGAACAAGAAGATGCTCAAATCATGACTTGGCTGTGGAATAGTATGGAGCCCAAAATTAGTGCCAACTTCATGTTCCTTGATAC